CCCAGTCCTGACCATCGTGGGCATTTGGGAAATAAACCAGTGTATTGGAGCTCTCTCTCTGCCACCAAAATAAATTTAAAAGTTTTAAAACACTGTTATTTGAAAGACACAATTGCAGAGACAGGGGCTCCTGGCTTCAGCCTGGCCCAGCCCTGGCTGCTGCAGCCATTTGGGGAGTGAACCAGCAGATGGAAGACCTCTCTCTCTCTCTCTCTCTCTCTGCTTCTCCTTCTCTCTGTGTGCAACTCTGACTTTCAAATAAATAAATAAGTATTTTTTAAAAATAACTCTTTTTAAAAAATGACTTGCTCAAAGGCTGCTTAGCGGTGGGACCAGGCTCAGTTCCAGGCATGCACACGTCAACACCGAGCTGAACTGCCTCTTGGTCGGGTTTCCTAACCCTGTAATGCTTGCTAAGTGGACCAGCGCTGGGAACAGGGTGAGGCAAGTGAGGCATTTGCCTCAGGCACAAAATTTATGAGAACTTAAAAAAACATAGTAAAAAATTAATTAATCAAGGTAAATAAATATTATTTAAGAAGTATTTTATACGTCTAATAAATGTACAAGGAGACTTCAAGAAGTTCATGGAAAGTGGAGTTAGAATATGAATATATTCTGGTGTAGATAATTTTTAAATCATATTTAATAAGTGTTTCTTTTTTAAAGATTTATCTATTTATTTGAAAGGCAGAGTTACAGAGAGGCAGAGGCAGAGAGAGAGAGAAATCTTTCAAAGCCAGGAGCTTCTTCCGGTTCTCCCACATGGGTGCAGGGGCCCAAGGACTTAGACCACCTTCCGCTGCTGTCCCAGGTGCATCATCAAGGAGCTGGATAGAAAAGGGGCAGCAGGGACTTGAACCAGTGCTCTGATATGGGATGCTGGGGTCACAAGTGGTGGCTTAAACCGCTGTGCCGCAGGCTGGTTGAGCAGGTCATTTAATCTCTGTGTTTTGGGCAGGGGGTGGGGGGATCTGGTAAGAGTGCCTCTGTCGCAGGGCTCCTGGGAGGAATACATGCAATGTAGCCACAAACACCCTGCCCAGTGCTTGGGACAGTCCTCAGTAAGTGTTGGCTGTTGTTGTCATCAAACAGCCTGGGCCTGCCTACAGAGCACAAGCAGACACACAGACAGACGTTAACATCTAGAGGCCTGGGGTGGCTGCCGGCTGCCGGTGCCCTCACTCTTTCCATGAACTAAGGCTGCTAAGTGCCCCAGGCATGGGAAACATTGGAAGGAGCACAGCAGGCCCCTGGGGCCAGGGCCGAGGCCCGTAACTGAGCCCTTCAGCGACCCAGACACACGGTGCCATATTTTTAGCCTCTTGTGTACTATTTCCATCACCTGTGCTGGACTTTCAGCTGGGAAAGAAAAGTGGGGGCGGGGAAGGCTGGACGGAGGCCTCTCCTGCAGCCCCTGGGGGCAAGGGCTGGCCCACTTTTCTGTTTGCACACAGGGCCGATTTCACAGATGTGGCCCCTGTGTAGTGACACAGGTCCCCTCTGCCTGCCTCAATATTCTATTCTTAACCACCTTGAAATCTTTTTTTTTTTCTTCAAGTTTTATTTATTCAAAAAGCAGAATGACAGGGAGTGGGAGGGACAGAAATCTTCCATCCACTCCCCAAATGGCCTCAATGTTTGGGGCTTGGCCAGAAGCCTGGAACTCCGTTCGGGTCTTCCATGTGGGTCCCAGGGGCCCAAGTACTTGGGCCATCTTCTGCTGCTTTCCCAAGGGCATTAGCAGGGAACTGGGTGGGAAGCAGATCAGCCAAGATTGAATCAGAGCTCCTGTATGGGATGGGCATTGCAAGAAGCGGCTTCACCTCTGTGCCCCAATACTGTACTGGCCCCTCAGTGTTCTTAATAATTGTGGATAAAGAACCCTACTTTTTAACTTCTCTCTGGGCCACGCAGGTTACACAGGTTGCTTCAAAAGTTTGCGGGAGTAGAATCAAAGGATAGGGCCGGCGCCGCGGCTCACTGGGCTAATCCTCCGCCTAGCGGCGCTGGCACACCGGGTTCTAGTCCCGGTTGGGGCGCCGGATTCTGTCCCGGTTGCCCCTCTTCCAGGCCAGCCCTCTGCTGTGGCCAGGGAGTGCAGTGGAGGATGGCCCAGGTGCTTGGGCCCTGCACCCCATGGGAGACCAGGAAAAGCACCTGGCTCCTGGCTCCTGCCATCGGATCGGCGCGGTGCGCCGGCCGCAGCGCGCCGGCCGCGGCGGCCATTGGAGGGTGAACCAACGGCAAAGGAAGACCTTTCTCTCTGTCTCTCTCTCTCACTGTCCACTCTGCCTGTCAAAAAAAAAAAAAAAAAAAAAAAAGAATCAAAGGATAAGTTCATTTTGGTGCAAAGCAGTTTTAAAATCCATGCATAGTTTTTCATCATATGCATTTCCATTGGAGGGCTCTCATAGACATGGTTTTCATAATTTTTGCACCAAAATAAACGTACCTTGAAATTCTCTTTTCCACGAACTTTTGGAAGTATCCTCTTACAGGCCGTGCTGGTTGTACCCGAGGGAGAGGGAGATGCAGCAAGGGGCCGACGCCGGCCTCGCTGGGGACCCTTCCCGCGTGGGTAGGCCAGTCTGAAGCCCAGGTGTGGCCCAAATAAACCCTGTTGGGAAACTCCTTATGCCCCTTGATATTTCTCCTGTGAAACCAGAATGAGATGCGGAAAAAGCCTTTCAACTGGAAAGAAGCGGATCCTGCCAGCTACACAACTACCCCAGCATCCTATCCGAAGGGGTTCCACAGCCCTCTGTGCACGCCGTTTTCTGGTCTTGCAGTTCTTCTTGGTCTCTGAGACTTGTGTGTGTTTTCCCTTGTTGCTTGCACTGAATGCCAGTTCCAGGAGGCGTGGGCCTGTCTTGTCCTGGGCGCCCGGCGCGTTCCTGGCCGAATATTTGCTGATTGGAGGAAGGCTCGTCTTCCTCAGCCCTTGGCTTTGCGCCGGGGGTTCCCTCTCCGTGCATTCTCTTCGACGGTGCTCCGGCAAGACAGGGGTGCAGAGTTCTGCAGAGCCTGCTGGAGACGGGGGTGGGGGTGGGCGGATGGGGTGCGGTGGGGGGAGCAGAGGCTCCTAATTGTGGAGAAGGGGCAGGCCGGATGGCATGTGGAGGGTGTGTGTTCCCCAAGGAGGAGGCGTGGCAGGCTGGCTAGGGGCGGAGAGGGTCCCTAGATTCCAATAAGAAGCCCAGAGGATTCTTGAACTTGGGAATGACCGTGAAAACAAATGATTCAGTAGGAGTCTCCTTGCCACCCCGCCGGGTCGTGTGGGTGGGGGTCTGGCCTTGGGAGCAACTGGGGTGGGGGACGGGGCCGCTGAGGGGAACTAAGGCTCGGGGAAGGGCGAGGGGCATTCAGGGGCAGGTGCTCCGGGCGCGGCGAGTCGGCACACGAGGGCAGCCGTTCCCGCCGCCGCCGAGCCGCGCGCAGGCCCGCACTTGCAAGCCCGGGACTGGGGACTTGAAAGCGCCGGGCGCACCGCCCAGACCTGTCCCGCCGGGCGTCACCGCTGCGCTTTCGGCGGGAGCCGTAGGAAAATCCCCCTCTCGCCTCGGGGGCTGGGGGAGGTGCGGGGGCGGAGGGAGGCCACCGGCAGACTCCGGGTGCGGCTGGGGAAGATCTGGAGGGGCCGAAGACATGCCACACGCGGGCCGGGCGTTCCAGGAAGCCGCGCGCTGCCTGCGCCCCAGCACGGTCCCATCCAGCCTTGTAAGCTCCCGGCCTGTCTCATCTTTTCTGATTCCTAGTGTGCACACGGCCGAGGCTCCGATCCGGAAACCTGCCCTGACTGCACTAGTATGGATGTTCGGTGGGGTTTAGAACCGGGGCTCAGGACGCTGCTTCCTCCCCAAAGGGGCGCGCGTAAAAGTTTCCATGCAAGCGCTCTGGGGGAGCCGTTGCCTTCATTGCCCCCTAGAAACCCGCCCGGTGTCCTGCAGCTGTCCGAGTGGGATATGAGACCTCACAGACTGACACCAAAGCATCCATTTTTCAAATCACCCCAATGGGCCAAGAAAGGAAAAGCGGTTTGCAAACTGCTGTTCTGACTATTACCGCTGTATTGGAGCCCGTGTGTGGTTACGGCCCGTGGGAAGGTGGAGCGGGGGTCACTGGGCGCCCGGTCCGCGGGCGGACTCGGAGGCAGGGCCCCGGACCGCGCCCCGCACCTGCTGGCCCCGCCCGCCTGGCGCGGATAAATGAGGCAGCCCGCCCTGTGGGTCAGGTGAGGGGGTAATGGGCGTGGCCTGGTGCTTGAGTGGCAGGCGCGGCGTGCGCTCGGGATGGGGCGTGCGTGCGCACAGGCTCCGCCCCTCGGGCCTCGCAGCGCAGCCGGGCGGGCCCCCGGCTCGCCGGGGCGGTGGCGGCGCTGAGGAAGGCGGGCCGGGGCGGGGCGGCCGATAGGCAGCGGGGGAGATGGTGCCAACCCCCTTTCTCTCTCCATTGGGCGATGCTGACCCCAGTATCCGCTTGTATTAAATATATGGATGCCTTGTACACTAATATATCATAACCATTTCCGTAAAGCTGACAACCATAGAACAGAAGTTCTGACATTGAAAACTACTATGCTT